TCCAATAATTGAAATAATAGTTTACGGACGATATTTTTAACTGTTACCAATGAAGGTAATATAATATTTGCTAAATATTATTGGGTTACAAAAATTGTTTCGAAGACATTTCAGTCAATTTCATGGTTACCCGCAATGAATTTAAATTAATTTGACGAATTCCTTGCGGATATCATCATTCCTACAACAGTGTTATTGAGAGAATGACCGATGAATTCCTTGCTAATTTATTGTGTGCTAAAGATTATTGAACCAAGAACATGGTTTGTGTTAATTTTACATATATAAAATAAATGGGTAAGCGGTTACCCGTTTATAACCACGGTTAATACCCATAACCACCCATTTAAATTTCAGGGGTAAATGGTTATACCCATAACTGTTTATTTATCTAAACGGTTAACTATAACCGTAACCGTAAAGTTTAAATAGGCGGTTAACCGCGATTACCCATAACCGCGGGTATTTTGCCCTTCCCTACCTAGCACTGGTGAATCGCACGATGATGACAAGGGAAAGGCTGAAATGCCTATGTGAATCTTCTCAGCCCCTAGAAAGGTGGACTGTCATGACGAAGATATCAGCTGGTGTTAAGTATTAGGTTTATTGTTTGGCTTTCGTTGTAAAAAAATGTAAATGTTACCATACATACTCATAATTTAGAGTTAGGGGACAATGCTGATATGGGATTTCTGCTGGAATTAAATTGTCAAGGCTCCAGTCATCTTCACTACAAAAAAAGGTTTGATTCATTCATTTGCATATGCATGTCAAGCTTGTTTTTTTTCGGTTTCTTTTGTTTAGTGGAATTGTCTCGTCATAACTCCTTCTGATATCCAGCTATCTAGGCATGAAAATTAAGATAGCCCACATGGGCTATCTGACACATTTTCCTGTGCATGGATTTCTCACCCTTAATCTGAAAATATTTCTTTGGCTTGTGACACGTGTCTCCTTGTACCTTTTTGTCTGAAACATCCATTTTTTCCATTAAAAGGGTTTTCAAGGTTTCATTTGTCTCTTGGCTAGGTTATTGATAGTTCAAGAAAAATAGTGCTTTAGCCTAGAGCTACTTCTTAAGTTTCAAAACCGAAACTCTAGCCACAAAACCATCTTATGCACAAATACCCAATCATTGCATATTAGGGTTGCATTGTGTTCATGGTTTTGCATTAAGTTCTAGGTCTAATCTTCAAATTTTCATATCTTTCTTAGACTAAGCATTTGGATTCATGTTAGGTTATTCTTTAACTACTTGACTGGAGAACCGGACTAGTCATTGAATCCTCATTTCATGAGCACATCATAACATCATATCATTTCATTGACCGTGTTGATATCGGTGCCACAAGGTGAAGAGTTCAGAAGGAGCTGCCACTTCATGAAGACCGAAGGAGTTCATCTTGTGTAAAGTAAGGTTGCACAAAGGTAAAGCTGCTCCATAGATAGGAATATAGGAATTGAGCTTGTGTGGTCTTTGTATGAACCTTGTTTACACTAGTAGATTGCACTCAATGGAGAGCTTGGTTTTTTAACCCAAATGTGGGTTTTTCCGGCCAAAAACTTCGTCATGTTCAATACTTTGCAAAATTACCTTTATATCCAAATAATCATTGTTAGAGATAAACTTTGTAGAGTGTGCTAGTATTGACACTTTGTTAACTAAGTAAACTTAACTCAAGAACCAAGGCTAAAACAATAACTGGAGATCACTTGTCTTGCTTTAGCAATATCAGTTTACTTAGTTTATATGCTTGTGGCTATCTAACAACATGTACTCAGTTGACTAGTTCATCTGACTAGTCAATATAGTTGGTTTCAAAGTTTTTATTGTAGGGTAATCCGCCTGGTACCAAGTTCAAATGGTCCTATTTTAAACAAAAGAATTTAAGACTTTGAAACTCTAGATGAAATGAATTTTCTACTAACAAGAGAATAAGTCAACACAACTTTAATGGTTAGACTCTTTGCCCTCTATGTAATAATGGCAAGGTTTTAAAAGACGTTTGGCGCTAGTCGGACGCTGGGTTATGGCTTAGCGCTTAGGCAGCTAGACAGGGCCTAGGTGGACTAGGCATATTTAAGTAAATCTATTATATTTCGTGTAAATAAGTATTTGCTTATACTAAAAATATATATATATAAATTCATCATAAATTACAAAATAGAATGACATATATATATTATGAAGTATTGGAACATATTGAAAACATAAGGAACAAGGATATAATGTGTATTCATTTAAGTATGTAACAAGTCTCTTATAATTTATTGTAAAAAATAAAATGTAAAATAAATGTTATCTATTTTCTGTATAAGTGAGTCGTGACCTAGGCAAATTTGGGTGGGTTAGGAGGGTGTCTAGGCGATCTAGGCAGGCGCCTCAGCAGATCTAGGCGCTCTTTCTTAATTTTTAAACGCCTAGAGATAAATATGATATTTCTGATCTTAGTAAAATTCTTATTTTGTGTTGGCAAATGTCAAATGCCAGGAACAACTTTGTGTTTAGAAAAATTAAATTTGATCCGACTTGTTATATAATGACGGCTGCTACAGCTGGTAAGGATCTTGAAACAGAAACATATCAAACGAAAAATGTTGTTAACACGTCAGATGGATACCTCATGCAGAAGGTTTTTATAAATTCAACTTTAATAGTTCAGTGGAGGGCAATTCAGTTACATAATTTTATCACTAGGAATCATCAGGGGCACCTTTCTCTTGCTGGCTCTCGTCATCTAGGCGCCTAACACTATCACTATGGTGGAAGCACTGGCATTTCGGGATGCTTTGAGTTTAGCCAACCCACATCGTATCATGAAATTATAGTGGAAGGAGACTCGAAGATTGTTGTTGATAGCTTTTAAGGAAAGTGTACAACTTCGTTGAGAATTAAAACCATTTTTGAGGACATAAAATGGCTTGCTTCCTCGCTCCGTTCGGTAGAGTAGAACCACATCTTTAGGAAAGCAAACTTTACAACATATGTCGTTACTTTCCTTGAGCATAATTGTAATAATCTATATCTATAGGTTGGGTGTGTTCCTCCCAAGGCTAAAAATGCTCTTTTGTATGGCTCTCGAGACCTTAGGTGTTAATGAGGTTTCTCTTTAAATTAATCGCACTTTTTCTATAATAAAAAAATTATATATATGAGCTCGTTTGGAAGTGAATTAAAAATTATTGAAAACGTTTTTAGAGAAAATATTTTTTTTATTTCAAAAGTACTTGAAGTGCATCCTACAAGAAGCATCAGTTATGTGCTTCTTGCAAGAATCACTTTTAAGTGTGTTTTTCTTCAATATTCATATGCATTTTAACTAAAGATTGATTTCAAAAATATTTTCATTAAAAACACTTTTATATATTTTAAAAGCATTTCCAAACGAGCCTTATATTATTCATTTTTCTTTCTCTCTCATATACGTTTCATATATCTAAAGAACAAAACTACATACAAAAAACAAAATGATTATCAAACAAGTCATAAGAATCTCGCCTTCGACTTCCTCATTCCTAGTAACAAAGAAAAACAAAAAGTTCATATTTTAAATAAAATAATTAAGAAGGTTTGAGATTGTCCTTTTAGAAACGTTGTACAACGAGACTGCGATTTCACTAGAACAATGGATGAAATCTTGTATGACGCATTCCTTTAACTTCATTTTTTTATAGGATCCGGATCATTTCTTGAGCTCAGAATGGGGATCCTCATGAGCAGCTCATTCGGGCCGTTCAAACTTGATCCAACGGCTGTAATTATTATAATTTTTAGAGGAGCTCATTGTTTAGAGTCGTTGGATCAAATTTGAACGGTCCAGATGAGCTGCTCAGGAGGATTCATACACCGAGCTCGGGAGAGGATCCAATTGCTTTTTTAAATGACCAACGAAGGAGAATATTGTAAGAGACACTAATTGGAATTTCCCAAAAGTATTTGGATAAGAATATGAAAAGGCAAAATGGATGTTGGAGCATCCAAGCAAACAACATGCGTATTAGTAACGGTTCAATTTTCCTTCGTTTCATATGTTCTATCATTTATAAATTATTGTAAATTATTCCGCTTCTTGTAAGTAAAGAGTTATTTCTTGTTCTATTACAATGTAACTCTATTTTATTTTCCAAATATCATAATTCAAATTGTTGCTCTTTATCATCATATAAATATTATTTATAGAAATTTCATTTAATATTGAGATCATTTAATCATTCATATGTATCGAACAAATAAACAACTATGGTAACAATATTCTCATTATTAACTGACAATTTGGTTTTTATTTTTATTTTTATATTTCATACAAATGATTAATGATCTCCAAATCGAAAGAAATTTTATACAAAAAATCTTCAAACTATGACATTTATACAGTGAAATAATATCACATCGTCGTGTCAAAAGGCTTGACACCTTATATGTAAAAAGCCAAATAGTGTAATAGTTGCTAAATTATTTAGCCCACTGAACACTCCTGAAAAAACAAAAAAACATGTGTGAAGTGCAAATTTGAATTAAAAAAAAAATCTATATATATAAATTGTAGTCATTTTATTTCTATCTTTCCATACATAACCGAAAAATGAAAAAGATTTTTCAAGAGTCTCGAGAGTTTCTCATTCAATCATTTTCCTTCTTCTTGTTGCTGGACATCTCGTCGTACACACATCTTTTATTTGTTTTTCGAGCCTATAGTGAGTTACATATATATTCAAAAAAAATTCTACATATGCATAACTTAATTAAGTACAAATTTTTAAAATATCCAACTTATTTTCTGGTATGGAGAATAGTGTATCTTTTTATCTACCTTCTTTTTTTCCTTGTTAAAAACTTCATTTCTTTAATACATACTTTCTTTTATATTCTTCTATATCTACTGTTCATTATACAGTATTGCATTACAAAATTAATTTATACATGAAAATGATGTATTTTAATTTCATCACGATGCAGTGTGGCAGTCACCTAACGTTCTTTTACAAAAGAAGAGAACTCTTTTATTCCTCCTCTAAAAGTCTTCTGCTTTGTTCGTAGGCGGCAACAAAATAAAGCATATATTCCTAACCTCACTTCCCTGACATTTCTTCCTTTTCTTCTTCTGAATCCAAAGCAGACGGAGTCCATAGTTTTTCACTCTCACCACCCTATTTAATTCTCTCTTTTGTCCTCTGTTTTCTCTCATATTTACCGGCCTTGCGTTGAACAACAAGGGAGGAGTAGATGTTGCCATGGGGAACCTCTTGTCACTTTTCAAGAGCAAGCAGAACAGCCCTGCGGTTTCTAGAAGTATCTCCGGTGGCAACGCCGGCAGAAACCACAGTGTCACTGGTAGAACGCCGTCGTATGATCCCGGGATGTTCGGGAAACCGAACATAAATGATACGAGACCTAGCAAAGCACAGAGTGGTACGGAGAAGCAGCTCTCTACCCAGAAGCAGAAGTACGCTTATATCCCTGATAACTTCACATCCCTTCAACAGGTTTCTCTCTCTTCTCTCTCTAACAAATTAATTATTTTTGCAATTTTGTCTGAAATTAAGCAGAAAACATATGAAAAATTTTCGTTAATTTCACATAAAAATTAGGGAATTTCTTAACTCTTTGGGAATCTCTGTTTTAATCGGAGGATTGTTTATCTCCTTTTAGTTATCATAGGTTTGGTTTGGTTTTGTTTTGGATTGGATTTTTTTTTTTGGGTCTTCTCCTAGGACTATCCTTTGGCGTTGTCCAAAATTCTAAGGTTACTATACACTTTTCAACGGAAAATTTTCAAATAATTGAATAAACAGTGGTCAGCAATAAGAGCGCGGACTCGACTTCTTAATAAACAGAAAACACATGGGAGATCTTTAGTTCGATGCTCCAAGCTGAGCTGTTAAGTCTGCTTGACCGTAAATAGATGAAATTCCACCTCAACTCTCCAAGTCCAAAATGAGTGGGTAACCGTAACTTGACACCTATTGTCCCTCTCTTTAAAAACAAAAAAAAATCTCTAGTCAAAATTAACCAATAATTTCTCTCCTCAGTTTGTTTCTCAAAACTTTGAAATATACGACTCGAGGTTAAGAGAATCATTATCTGATCCTATATTACTTTTATATTAAATTCAAATTTGATATAAGAATGCACCAAAACATGTACACTGCTTTAACCAACTAATCAAGTTCAGTATATACCATTTTTTTATTAGTTGATTTCAAGTTAGAGGCGGAGCCATGAAGTATCAGACCCATCCTGACTTTTTTTCATGCGGAAAAGTTTATTGTTATGGTTATGATTTTCGTAGGCTCGGAGTCCCATTCCAATGTTTTTACTTTAATTTCGTTTGTTAGGCTCGATTTGAGGTTGTAGCTCATATGTTGTGAACTTTGATGAGGACTGAGGTCTGGAGATTAGTGGTAGGAGAGAGGAAGAAAGTTAGAGAGGCTTGGGTTTAGGCTTAAGGAAGGGGATGATGAGGATGACACCATACTAGACCCAAGCGATGGTGATCGATTGCTGATCACAAGGTAGAGTGATTTTTGTAAGATCAAGTGTTTCAGATTAAGACTTTTGAATCCGTTCTAGACTAAAATCCTGGTTCCGCCTTTGCTGGCTCCAGAACAGTTTTCATGATAATTCGCTACATATTAAGAGTAGGGTTTAGACTAAAATTGAGAGTAGGATTACCACTAAACACTGAAAACTAGTTGATTAGCTCCATTGCCTACACCATTATAGGGTGGTTGGCTTGGACCCATCTAGAGCAATTCAAATGACTAAGATCCAAACCAATCGATGATCTCAAAGACATGATAGCATTATTGAAAGTTTCTTATCTCAACATGACTTGGAATATGTTATTGGATGAGCTTAAAGTGTTCCCTTTTTTGTGTTGATATAATATTCGCACTTATTTTAAACATACGTAACAACATGGGCTCTACTAAAATAATAATAATTTTTTTATTTTATTTATTTTTATGGTTTCCTTATCAAATAGTAGGACCTACTGCAAATGACTTATTATTGGTCGTAACTTTCATCCCGTCAATTTAATTGAACACGTAAATTAATAACACCACAATGTATTAGTACCACGTACAATTGTAAATAGATATCCACTCTTTTAGTCTAGTCTCAGTCCTCCCTAGTATTGACTTGGATAGTATTTTTAACTGCTTTTTAGTCATATCCAATTCGAAACCATCACAAAAATACATTATTGAGGGGATTTTTTTTTCTCACCGCACTCTGGTGATGCTCGTCATCTTATTTATAATTATTAGATGAGTTTAAATTTTGAGATTTGAATAGTGAATAAGCACAAATCTTAAAATTGAAATTGATCAAACGATGATAAACAAGATAATGAGTATTGCCACCACTTGAGCGTGCTGCGCAAAAAAGTACCCTTACTGAATGGTTAATTTCTGTTTCTTTATTAATCATGGGCCAAGCAACCATCACGATTGTCAATTATTAATCATGCATGTTGCACGCATCTTTCTTTCTCTATATAAAAAGGGTTTTGCATTAGTGACGTGTCAACGCGTCTCTTTGAAAGCATTACTGTATTTTTAAGGGCATAGTGGAAGATTATCCAATGTGCAATGCCAGCACACAGACTACAAGCAAAGGGAGTGGGACTTGCTTTTACTTTCTTGTCCCACAACCCTACTGTTTATTCTTATAAGTATGATGATTAAAGTAAGGTTGTGAAACGCGAGGGTTTTTTCGGAAAGTGATTTTTGCATACTTATTTTCTTTCTCTGCACAGTCTTGTGTATCTAAATTTTTTTGATTGAATAAGTAAACGAGAATCAATAGACAAAATTAGATAATAGTAACCAAATGAGGGTATATAATCATTTCCCAATTAATCTCAATCATCATCGAGTAAATTTGTTGAAGCTCCAGTTAATACACAACGATGCGTCTATCTGTCTCGTTGCATGATGTGTAACAACTGATGATACTCGGCTCATCGCTTCACATGTTTTGGAACAACTCACAGAAACTCTGAATAGAAATTTGAAAGAAAAAAAAAATATGAACATCTCCTTTAACATTGCAGAAAATCAATTGCTTCCTTTTTTCAGGTTACAGATGCCTTGAGAAAAGAAGGTTTAGAGTCATCTAATCTCATCGTCGGAATTGACTTCACCAAGAGCAACGAGTGGACAGGTTAGCGGACGAAAATAAAAACTGCACTACTGTTTCGTATACATAGACTTACATGCATTTTGTGTTTGGACATCTTTGGAGCCGATGATTTGTTGTTGTTGTTACTGCAGGCAAAGTTTCATTCAGAAACCGGAGCCTGCACGCCATTGGCGATGAACCTAATCCATACGAGAAAGCTATCTCCATAATTGGAAAAACTTTATCTCCATTTGATGAAGACAACCTCATTCCTTGTTTCGGCTTTGGTGATGGTAGGGGCCTTAATCCTTCCAAAGTTTGAAGCTCTGGACCTTTTTTGTTTCGTTTCGTGTTTTGATCGCTGGATTGACTTTACCTCCCTCCCCACTTTTTAGCTACCACTCATGATCAAGAGGTGTTTAGCTTTCACAATGATCATTCGCCCTGCCATGGTTTCGAAGAAGTCTTGGCCTGCTACAAAAAAATAGTTCCAAATTTGCATCTTTCGGGTTGGTGTAATCTTATATCTTGTGTTTTTCATGTATTATAGTTTGGATTATCACTTGAGTCAGAGATTTATAGGCATATATTGTGTTTGAAGGGCCAACATCTTATGGACCTGTAGTTGAAGCTGCAATGGATATTGTGGAGAAAAGTGGAGGGCAATTCCATGTTTTAGTTATCATTGCAGATGGCCAGGTTTAATATCTGATGCTCTCTCTCTCTCTCTCTCTCTCTCTCTCTCTCTCTCTCTCGACTAAGTACGAGTTTCTTAATTGTAAAGGTCACTAGAAGTATCGATACTAGCGACAATGAATTGAGTCCACAGGAGGAGAAGACGATCAGATCAATTGCAGATGCAAGGTAGAACCTGCAACTATCATTTCTTTTGTTTTAAGTATGTCTATGCAATGCAGTTGTCATAGCTAAACCTAAGCAAATCTCGAAAGGCGCTAAATGTGTCGATTTACCAGGCACTGAGTGCATTATTACAGCAGGAATATTGAGTTGAACCTAAAAGATTTACTTCGAAAACTTATGTGAGCAGTTTCTATCCGCTCTCGATTGTTCTTGTTGGAGTCGGGGATGGTCCTTGGGAAGACATGAGGAAGTTCGATGACAAGCTCCCTTCACGCGAATTTGATAATTTTCAGGTACGATAAGCTATATAGCACTAAGTTTATTGCCAATGGAGAGATTTTAAGCAGACATTAATCCTCTAACTAGTTTATTTTCGTTTATAGTTCGTTAACTTCACCGAAATTATGTCTAAACACACAACTTCATCCGAGAAAGAAGCTGCATTTGCTCTGGCTGCCCTCATGGAAATCCCAATCCAGTATAAGGCAGCTGTTGAGTTCGGTATACTTGGGTATGGTTAGCATAAACATCATTTTGATTGGATTAGACTCTAGCATGCGTATGCTTACTAATATAAGTTTTATTGTACCTGGAAAAAAGACGTACGACAGGGAAAAAGAAGAGAATCGTTCCACGCCCTCCACCAGTTCCTTACACCCATCGTGCACCAACTCGCGAACCAAGTGGTCTTTCAGCACCTGCAGGGGATGAACGAAGCGAGATGGTATAGTTTTTTTTATTTTTTTGTAATTTTTACAATTGCTATATATAGATGACCGAAGCGAAATGTATTTGAGCTTCTTACAAATTCAAATAACTGATATACTTTCTTCGTTTCAATTTGAATGCAGCTCTGTCCAGTCTGCCTAACTAATGTAAAGGACATTGCCTTTGGTTGCGGACACATGGTGAGCTGCAGTAGCGGAACCCTTTCTCTCTGTTCTTTCCTGTCTTGCATGCCAATTGCCATTAACAATTATTTCATTGCAGTCGTGCAGAGACTGTGCACCGAGATTGTCCGACTGTCCAATTTGCCGCCAGCCAATTCGCAGCCGTCTCAGGGTTTTCACTGGATAACCGCACAAAGGGATTCGTGTGTATATCAGATTGTGCATATAACTTTTTGAGATTGTCTGCCTTCTGTCAGCGACACCCAGGTATCGAATTGCGCCAGATTGTACAGTCCTGCTTTCTAACTCTAATGTGTAATGCTGCTTCTACTTTTAATCATCTGTAAGATGTTTGGTTGCTTAAAATCACTACAACTGGTGAGTTGTGCTTCTTCTGTCAGCGTTCGCCAATTAGCGAGAACTTTGATGGAGTTCTAATTCGTTCAATATGCAAAAAAAATCAAGTTAATACGAAAAAGAAAAGTGTAAACTTTGTAGAACAACATGCATTAGGTCAATAATCCAGAAACAATTGCTCTAACAGTGACTGTCGAATTCAAATCGTATAACTCTATTGAGGCACGACAATCACATTAAACCGTCACTGTTTCTTCTTCCATTATCGTATCCAATCTCTGCATTGTGTTGAAAATCTGGTCTGTATGCCGGTGAGATTCATCGTCCGCTCCAAATGTGTGATACAATCCACCTTGACTTCTTGACGTTGTTGTCTCTCAGTAGCTTCCTCACTCTACCAGCATCCGCCCATCTGCGCACATCTTCATACATGATGGCTAGAAGAATGTACCTCCCAGCATTTTCGGGGTCCAAAGCAAACAACTTTTCCGCAGCTTCTTCAGCGAGTTCTATGTTATTATGTATTCTACAGGCTCCAAGCAAGGCACCATATTCATCTTTCCCTGCCTCCATGGGCATGCTTCTAATAAGCTCGACCAAGTAACCCAGCTCTTCCCAGAAGGTCAACTACACAGGCGTAGTGTTTCTAGCTTTTCGTTACTCCATAATCTCCTATTTTCTCGAAAAGTTCCAAGCCTTTTGTGATCATCCCTGAGTGACTACAAGTGGACAATAAACACAAAAATACAGTACCATCCGGGCGTAAGCCAGACTCTACAAACTGCGAAAACACTTGGAGTGCCTCATCTACATGCCCGTGCATTCCATAACACCGGATAATCGCATTCCACAGGACTCCACAGGATCACAGTTTTCTCGCTGATTTGATAAAAAATAACTCTGGCAGTGGTTACACGACCACAATTTGCGTACGTTGTAATGAGAGCGCTGCCTAAAACAGCATCGGCTTTCATACTTGACTATATAATGTAAGAATGAATCCAAAGTTCAACTTCAATAGCCGATGCTTCAAAACAAGCAGGAGGAATGCAAACAAGAGTGGCATGGTCAGGCAAGCATGTGGCATGATCTTGCAGCATGGAACGAAAAACCATGAGAGCTTCACGAGGATTCCCACTTGCCGTGTACCCCGGAATCATGGAATTCCAACTAACAGAATCTTTCTCAGGTAATTCATCGAACACTCTTCTAGATGTCTCAATCTCCTCACACTTGGAATACAAGGCAATAAGAGCATTCCCAACAAACAAATCCGAGTCGAGTCCACATTTCACGACATGTCCATGAACAATCCGACCTCGTTTTCCATCTCTCATTGCACCGCAAGCCTTGAGCATAAAAGGGTACGTGTACCGGTTTGCAGGTACACCACTGAACCGAATTCTATCATACATATTGAGGGCTTCAACCAAAGGACCCACATTTGCATAACCCTGAATAACCATGTTCCGCACAAAAACGTCTCTCTCAAGCAATTTATCAAACACCTTCCGTGCAGCTTCCATGCTTGATTCACTGCACTCAACATACTTGCCAACTAGCTTTGCAACAACAAATGGGTTTTGCTCACAACAGTAATTATCTGGGCATGGAGTTTTTTGATTGATCTGGTGCTTCTACAGTGCCGTAGCAAGTAGGTATAGTGATAAGAGTCTCTGCAATGAAGTGTTCTGTATGTTCTGCCACCAATGACAAACCCCAACAATCTGAAGGGTTCCTCCCATGAAATTAAAATCTTTGATTGCCTAGCTAGCCCATTAATTTGGGCTTTCAACAGCTGCATCATCATAGAAGGTACAGGAGTTTACCCAGATACCACCATTGCAGCAGTCTACCTGTCCATGGTAATACAAGCTTACAAATTGTTATTGGAATGCAAAAGGGAATGAGTTCTGCTTCATTGCTTTGTAGTCCCAAACCCTAAATTAGCAATTCTAATATTTAGTTCAAAAATTAAGGTTCCGTGAGAGTTTCTATCAATCTACTCTGGACATTGTTTGGCTCTTTAGAGCATCTCCAATTGAGATGTCAAAAGATAAATGTCCAATTTGATGGCTGACGTAGTAATGTCAGATTTTCTCTTCTTCAAACCCACATGTATTTTATCTTCTAACCCACAAATTCTTCTAACACAATAAAATAATTAAAAAATTAATCGAAACCTTTTCTAATATGTCAAATTTGACAGTAGAAAATTTATATGTCAATCAACGTAGGATTGATATATCGGTAGGAACTTCTTCCTACCTTCATATTAGATAGTGTGGCATTCCAGATATTGGAAAATGCTCTAGAACAACATGTACATGAGAAACTATCGTATTCCGTTCTTGCATGCCTTTTTTCTCAGTGAGTTCTTACTGCACTTAAATATTCATAAAAAAAATAAGACACAGCTCGCATAGTTCTGCATAATCATAACATAAAAAACGCCAAAACCCATCCATGTAGTTGTTCTGAAGAAACATACAGATACCCTTGACAACAGAACCTCCATCTACTTCTGTTCCTTCTCAGCTTCGGTGTTGCTTGGCTTTGGAATTGGTTGAATTCTCACATATGGATTCCTAGTCAATGTCTCTCCTTTCAGTGCAGCAACATAGCGGTCATTTGTGTTCTCTTTCCGCTGCAACTCCCCAAGGAATTCTGCCAATCTTTCTTTATTCACTTGCCCCATCCTCTGATTCACAATTTCAAGCAAAAAACTATCAGCATTTGTGTTGATTCAGAGTACGAAACTGCTTCAAGAAACAACCCGAAATTGAAATCCATTTGAACTAAACAAGGAATTTAGTTTTCAATGACAATAAGTTATAAAACTTAATATCAACAATTTGATGATACGTTACATGAGATTTGATCACTGTTTCTGATCCGACAGGGATCAGTACTGGATGAGTTAAACTGCCTATGTAATGGGTGAGACACGAACAAGTGATGGTTCCTCAACAAGATTTGATTTCATTTATTCACTGTTTCTGATGAATTATAAACACACAGGAAAGGTAAATGTTGGAACCACGACATCTTAGAGGAGTTATACATGAGCAATTATCCGTTCAAGATTACAACGAATATAAACATGAAAATGTAAACAATAAAGTAGGAAAGGCAAGGCTTTAAAAATTTAGTTCAGTGATGTACATTCTTAGCAAAACAAACTCGTTATATACATATCGAAGAAGCGTGATTACTCGGTTGAGTTGGTTCCATACCATCAAACGACGCAAATAAGTCGACATTATGGCACATACATATACACATGTGTTCTATACTAGTGAGTGAAAATCATTTAGCTGGATGTATTTCCTCTATCTAAAGTTGGAAGCTTACACACAGACTTCAACAAATCATAACTTTTCAGGTCACTTCATAGAACATATTACAACTTCACCAACAAGTCAAGATTGCAGCTTTGAATTTGCATCAAACAAAAAAATCCACACAAATCAATGTCACTTCCACATCATCTAATCATCAATTTGATCACCTAAGTTCTTCGCTATTCGAAAAGGGGTTCGTCTAATTCTCCATAAATTAACAATCTTTGCGTAATTACAAGCAAAACCCATTTCGTAAAATCAAATATAATGTCAGAAAACCAACTGGGTTGAACAGAATCGCACCATGGATTCAGGTCGGGCGTTGCGGCGGAGCTCGGCCTCGAGTTGTTGGTTTCCGGAGTTGGTCGTCTGCATAACGAAGTAGCCAATAACGCCCGGAACGACGCCGCAGACGGTGGCGAAGGCCAAGAAGAAGGGCTTCGAGTCACGGGTCTTGTTCACTATCCACCTCCATGTCCCGCTCTTCTCCCACAGTATCGACATTCTCGACTTCCAGCTCGTCGCTCCGTCTCTTCTGCCTTCTCTGGTTTTTGGTTCCTTCTTCCTTCTGTTCAGGTTGAATTGGGCTTTCATTGGACTTAACACGTGTCTTTTTTACATGGACTAAAGACTTAATACGTTTCTCTCCTAGTTGGACTGGAGGTGTCACACCTCTACCCTGTACGGCCCATTAGTTTGAGGTGGGTTGTTAGGGTAGTGGCAAATCTGGTTTGGTTTGGTATTTTAAGGGAAATTTTAACGAAAACTCTCGGTACTGTTCACTTTAACGAAAAACCACATTTTTACACTAAAAAATCAATTCTGATACTATTCACTTTGCTCTTTATTTTGTCCTTATCATTAAAACTCAAAGTTTTCTACCCCTTTTCATTTTTTTTTGACAAACGATATTATCTAAACTATGGGAGAGGGGGATGAGCTTGCAATAATGTGGTTCAAATTCCCCTTTGGTGAGAATCGAACCTAAGACCTCTCACTAAGTGAAGAGAAATACCACTAGACCGTAGTACTAAGTGGCTGATTTGGTTTGACAAAAGAGAAATTCAATTGACCCAAAAGACGAATCAAACCCTAATGATGTGTTTAGTTATAATTTTGAGCTTTTGTAACCGATACAGGTGGCAATTTTGGTCACCAAGCGTTAATATGATTCGAAACTCCATAAATATGTAGTTCAACGAGTCTTCTTTTTAACATGACTCAAAACTCGCACAATTATATAGTACAAACTCGCATAACCACGACATAAATAATATTATTCTATTAGAAAAAAGTAGCCTAAACACGAGCTTATTGTCACCCTTAAATTGCCGTAAACCGAATTGTAACCAGGCTAACAAAATCGAAAAAATGCAAAAGAAAAAGTTATTACATTTAGGTCCAAATGACTAACCAAACCGATGAACATTGATTTTGTTTGGCTTTATTAGGGATTTTGTTTGTACAAATCCAAATCCAACCAAAATGTTATATACAATTGATTTGACCGTGGTTGTGGAAGTAAAACTGAACCAATCTGAACCATGTCTACCCTTAAATGTTGTGCATGTAACACCATCCAACCATTTACTATATGTGGAACTACATTTCTATGGGAGAGCCAATTAGAAAAGTTCTCCAACATACTTCATGGAATCAAATTTCGATCTCAAGCACTATCTTTCATGTGATTTTATCAATGTCTTACACCTTGTACGTGGTTGTCACTCTTTAGCAAAACCAATCACTACAAGCTTGTCTCTGTGTTTGAGATTGAGTTGATCCAACTTTCAAGTTGTTAGATAAGCATGGTCACAACACTAAAGATGTTTTCATGCTGTTACCAAATGACACACGTGCCCTCATTAGGACAGGAGGCATCATAGTCCTCCAGAAGGGCCAGAAATCCCACATGAAAGCCACATCTCATTGCTGGAAGGAAAAAGAAGAATCTAATTAAACATTTGTCTTTTCTGCACAAACTAAAATGATCGATAGCCGATATTTGAGAATCTTTTGTGATTGTTCAAAGCCAGCCCTCTCTCTCTCTCTCCATTCTCTCTACAGTCTTCCACAAGCTCCCACAACTTCCCCACCACCATCCTCCCTTTGCTTTGCTTTGCTTTATCTCTTACCCTTGCATAAGATCATCATCGTGTGAAAGGTTGCATGGCTTTAGAACCCCATTTAAAACTTACCTCTCTCTCTCTCTCTCTGAGAGTTTAATATTGAATGACTAAAATACATGTTAGGAACGTGGTTTAGAAATTTAACATTGACCGAGAGTTAGAGCTTGAATCAAGGTTTTCTATTATATTGGAAGCAAGTGCGATTTATCATTGGATTGGGGGACTAGAAGAGTTTGGAATCTCTTTATGCAAATGATCAAAAGCTCCTCGTCCAAGGTTGCTGTATGTTCTCTTAATCTTAGGCATGAATATTGGGAAGGGTTGGGTTGGTAAAGATTGCAAAAAGTAATTCTTTCGGCAAAGACCTTAAAACCCTCTAGCTCCCTCCCTCCCGCTCTTAATCTCTGTCACTAGTTGGAAAAACTATTTGCGTGACAAAGCAAAATTCGTCGCGCAAGTGAGTTTTGTGCAATGAAAAAACAGCTTCATCGCGCAAGAGTGGTGCTACTTTGCGTGACGTACACCTTTATCGCGCAATACAGTTTGCACGACGAAAAAAGATACTCATCGTGTAAAGTCAGTAAGAAAGCGGCGGGTAATTCTTGTTGGCTGGAAAAAAATGCACGACGAAGTTTTTCCTGTAGAAACCTTGGGCGACAAAGGCTTCGTCACACAAAGGTCGTTCAGTTTTTGGGTCAGAGTATTCAGTGCACGAACACTTGCGTGACAAAGACTTCGTAGCGCAAAGTACAATTAGTTTTTTGAGTCAGAGCATTCAATGCATGTGAATCAGAGGAATCAATACTATATTTAGTGCAGATGTTTGCGCGACAAAGGCTTCGTCACTCAAAGTCCCTAACCTTCCTATAAATATGCGCTTCTGCTCTCCTTATTGTTTACAATTCTGTTCGTGCTCGAATGGAGGATAAAAACCAGAAGCAGAGCATGCCTTCTGGGCCCTATGATATGAGGCAATATGTGGAGTTTGCACATGCGATTGGTGTAGCAATACAGAATAATTGTCCTACTGCTGATTGGCGTTCTTGGAAATATGTGCTCGAGAATGTGAAGAATGCAGTGATGGATCAATTATTAGTAAGTGTGACAAATGTTGAAAATAATTAATTTTGTGAAATTTTTTGTTATATGTTAGAATTAATTATCTGCATATATGTGTAACAGTGTAACTATACTCTTGATGATACAAATGAAGAGTTGATGAAGTTGATGGAGGAGGCGTTGATAAAGCTGTTTTCGTGTTGTTACCAAATGACACACATGCCCTCATTAGGACAAGAGGCATCATAGTCCTCCAGAAGGGCCAGAAATCCCACATGAAAGCCACATCTCAGGAAAGGGATAGGATCCCTTTCCACTTAATCTACCAAGTCCGGGATTCGGGTCGTTGAAATTTGATTCAAAAGCTACAAGGGGCTCCTTTAAAAGTTTTAATAATTGTAGCCGTTGGATCAAATTTTAACTGTCTAGATCCCGGACTTGGTGGAGTAGGTGGAAAAGAATCTAATTAAACATTTGTCTTTTCTGCATAAACTAAAATGATCGATATCAACGGAGATCGATAGAGCCGATGTTTGAGAATCTTTTGTGATTGTTCAAAGCCAGCCCTCTCTCTCTCTCTCTCTCTCTATTCTCTCTACAGGCTTCCAAAAGCGCCCACAACTTCCCCACCACCATCCCCCCTTTGCTTTCCTTTGCTTTGCTTTATCTCTTACCCTTGCATAAGATCATCATCGTGTGAAAGGTTGCATGGCTTTAGAACCCCATTTAAAACTCACCTCTCTCTCTCTCTCTCTGAGAGTTTAATATTGAATGACTAAAATACATGTTAGGAACGTGGTTTAGAAATTTAACATTGACTGAGAGTTAGAGTTTGAATCAAGGTTTTCTATTTTATTGGAAGCAAGTGCGATTTATCATTGGATTGGGGGACTAGAAGAGTTTGGAATCTCTTTATGCAAATGATCAAAAGCTCCTCGTTCAAGGTTGCTGTATGTTCTCTTAATCTTAGGCATGAATATTGGGAAGGGTTGGGTTGGTAAAGATTGCAAAAAGTAATTCTTTCGGCAAAGACCTTAAAATCCTCTAGCTCCCTCTCTCCCGCTCTTAATCTCTGTCTAAATGCAATTGGTTATGCACAACTCATTTGATGTTGTGGTTGAGCTGTAAAAGCCATAAAACTCTTTAAAGAAAGAAAAACAAATATAAAGGCCTGTTTTTCTGTAATCATCATGACTACAAGTTCACTTCTCAACCATAGAACTACTGTTGTACTAAGAAGCCAAAGCTGCCACTTTAAGCTTTGAACACAGACCTAATTCTAGCTAGCTTAGTTTGATGAGTACATAATCACATCTCTCATATGACTATATTTTGTACATTTATGTGAAGAATAGGGTCAATAAATGTATCGCGTTTAACATTTTGCCTTACATCGAAAGCCAAAATTTTCGTTAACTACATTGCAAAAGATGAAATTGTTACAGAAGAAGAGAAGGAATTGGTAGAGAGAAACAAGAGAGATTGTATTGATTGATTAGAGAAAATGTATACAAATGAACTTAAGGAAATGATAGCTACACAATCCCTTATATAGCCATATAATCTAATTACAATAATATCCCTCTAACTATATAGTAACAAACTCCACTACTGAAATAATGCCATGTGGCATTTCTATTATTACTAAACATTTCTGTTATTAATTTTGACATCGTTGGATACTATGGCCGACTTCTGTCTCTGATCAACTGGTGTATCTTACAATCAAACTCCCTTATCCTTTTGCACTTGAGGGTCTTTGAACAGCATTCATCACTTTGATGGCTAAAAACATGTCGAATATATACAAAATAGAGGGAGAGTTTAAGACATCAATTCTAAGGCGAGTACAATATTGCATTTCAACTCTTGGAATCCCTTTATATATATATATATATATATATATAATTTTTTTTTTCAAAACTGTTTGGTCATCTAAGCAGAAAAACACGGTTCGTTAGATGCTCAATAAATCTGCAGATAATTGAAACTGAATGGATAATCCTTGACAATAAATCTTAAAACTGAATGGTTTTGATTATTGAATCACATCCCGGAAAATAGGATAATCATATTATAAAGGGGATCCCGCGCACTCCACTAATACTCTATGTATGTCTACCATAATATTAAAATCACGTTCCTATTGTAATTGATATGGAATTATTGGATATCCGTATGGATGTGGACATGCCTCATGACAGGTTGCGTTATGGATTGGTAACCTTAACATATTTTCCACATGCACCCACCATCCAGCTAACACACAATGGCTTACATAGTAGGGGAAATGGGAGGGTTTGAACCAGGGACGCAATGAATCTTAGAGAAAGATTCGATCTAATCATCAGGGCAATCTACAACCAAATAGTACTATTGTTAGTTCTAATATGTACATGTAAAAGA